ACAGAGTAGTGTGAGGTTTTAAGTGACATTCTAACACAGTTTAATATATCTCAACAAAGTAGATTTGAGGACATTAATTACTTTTTCAAAATGAAATTGATAGGAGTAGTAAGGTTGATGACCAATACTACTTATACTTTTCAGATGTAGATATAGCTAATCTTTTTTTCACTTCACTTGGGCCTACATTTTATTACAGTTTTAGTAGATGGAATATTTATTGTGCAAATGAAATTAATTGGAAATGTTTTGATCTAGAGGATGCAGCACTCTCCTGATCTAATGAGCTTTATGATGGAGTTGAAGATGCTTTTGGTAAGAATTTTTTTTTCTGACGCTGTTACCATACTGGAAGTTTTTATTTCTTTTCTGTAACTCCTTTAAGAACTGACATTATTAGAATTTGTCTTCTTAACTCCCAGTCATTTAATGTTTTCTTTTACTGTGTACATAAATATAGGTGATGCATTTCTTGAACTGCATGAGGGACATAACTTTGTGAAGGAACCACTTTGATTGTATCATAAACTAGGTATTCTTGACACTAGTTTTGGGCAGGTGGTGAAGAAATAAAATGCACTCCTGGCCTGTCAGCAGGGAGTTTAACATCTAAGAAGAGATTTAGTAGTCCTACTTAAAGATATAATATGATGTATAAATAGTTTTGTCTATAGCTACAGATATCTGAAAAAACATACTAGGTTTCACTTTATGTGTACTGTTACATATACACTGTTTAATCAGCGTTGCATAAAATACTTGATTATTTAGTTTATCCTGTAGACATTTTTCTTAAAACCTAAGTTCATTTTATTACCCAATTTTCAACATAAACAAAAGAAGAGGGAAGATTATAGTAAATACTGCTGGGCCTGACCAAATTTTAACATTTTGCCAGTCATAGTTCCTCTTCTACTTTTTTAGAAGAAAGACACTGTAATATTTTAAAGGAAATTCTGGACATTGTATGTATCCCTCTGTAAATAGGTCAGTGTGTATCTCTTTAACAGCTAAGTGCTTTTTATCTGTTTTTAAATACACTGTTATAACCTCAACAAAGTTAATATTTCTTATAGCTGCTTTGTTTGTATTAGCATGCAAACAAGGTCCACACATTATATTTAGTTAATATGTCTCTTAAGCCTTATATAAGACTTACAAGGTACTTATGTATAACAGCATCTCCTCTTTACCTCACCCTTTTTATTCATGCCATGTATTTGTTGAATAAAACAAATTGGGTGTCCTGTAAAATCTTCTACATTCTGGATCTGGCTTGTAAGATATTCCTGGTTTATCTTTTAACATACTCTACTTTCTTTGTAATCTGGCATTTAGATCTGGAGGCTTCAGCAGATTCGGATTCATTTGTTCTTACGAGATTACTTGGTGCTCTGTATTTATTATATTACATGAGGATGCACGTGATGTCTGGTGGTTCCTTGGTTCCTCTTTTAATAAATTTAAGATTGATCAATACGTTTAAATCCATTCAATATAAAGTTCCCCATCAGCCTATCACCTAATGATTTTAGCCTCTAATAGTAATCATTGACTATATCTAATGTTTCATTAGGATTTACAAATGGTAATTTAAAAAATTCCATCATCTGCATTTCTTAGTTGAAAATCTTCTGTAGAGAACTTCTCATCAGTTTTTTGGTTAATTTGAGGTACAGCTCATAATGGAGAGACTGGATAAGTGCTTGTTTCTTTTCCTTTTAAAACAGAAACCAATTTTTAGAATAATGAGTTGGTGCCTAGCAACTGTCACAGAGATCTAAAGTGATTTTTTTTTAAGTATCTTTATGAACTCATAGATTTTTATATATTTAATTTTTATTTATCGTAGTCATTTTCTTTTTGATGCTTAAATTGTCCCATTTTTTGGTCAGTACAAGCCCCTTCATGTTGGCTCCTGAGGTCTTTTAATATAACCCAAGCTTCTTTGCCTTCTGATACCAGTTGCTCCAGGCTCATTTATTCATTTTGTCCCATAACTGTAATCAGCCATTTCTCCAAAGAATCATGATTTCTTTGTAGGAAATAGTATTTGGATGCCTCAATCTGGAAACTTGAGTGTTTATTGCTGTTACTTCTAGGTTTTTTTCAGTGGACAAAGCTAGAAATGCTTTTTGGAAAGAATGTAATTATGAGTTTGTATTTATATTTACAATTCAAATGGGCATTATAGGGTTTTTACTTCTTTGCTTATATCACTTTTACTCTGAAAATGCTGTTTTCTAATGTTAACATCATTGTAGTATGGTTTTTTGTTATGTTCTACTTGTTATATTTCACTTATGCTTTTCCTGTCTACGTGTTTATGTTAGTTTATATAAAAATTACAATACTAGTATTGCTAACAATGGAAAGTTTTGATATTTCTTTGTAATTCTTGTTGAGACCATTTTGTTCTTAGCAGCAACTACTACATATTGATAACTTAGTTGCTAGATTTTTTTCTTGAGTCCCTTTTCAATGCTAGTAACCTTTTAAGGTAGGACTTTGATTAAATGTGTGAGATTAGAATAATAGTTTAAAATTAATTTCTAAAGTTTCAATTTTGATTTATGAGTTTATAAAACCAAATTAATAAGGGTTATCAAAAATTGATTACAAATTACATCAAAGGGCTTAATGTAATAACCCTAAAAACATAAAGTGAACAAGTGAAGCATATTTGGTTTACATCTCCTTGACATTGGAGAAAAGTTTGAAACATTTATCTTTTTATTATAATTTTAATAAACCATACAAATACAAGGAGAGACTAAGGGAACCAGAGTAAAAGTGTAGGTATCATGTCCCATTAAACTCTTCTTATCAAAAATAACTTTATACATTGTAAGTCACAGCTCTCTTGGCCATTTAATTTTGAACAAACACTTACTAGTTTAAAACTAAAATAAAATTTTGAGATCTCTGATTTACAGTATCTATTTAGTACATTTATTCCATTTCTGAATAAAAATGAAATCCTGTATTTTAGCTTTCTTCAGAAATTACGGACAAAGTTGGTGATTTTATTGCTCATTTAAGATAGTATACCTAAAAATATAAGAATTATTAGTGTACTGTTAGGCTGTATTGTTAGTAATAGGGTTCCTATACTATAATCACCAATAACTATGTTGAGAGTGATGCTCACATGAAATCAGTAGTTATTGAACTTTTTCAGGAAATGTTGTAAATCTTCCATGGAGTTGCCTAGTAATAACTGCATATAGTGGGAGTTCAGTATATATTTAATAAGTGAACAATTACCTATATTTTAAAATAATCCTATGTGGTAGGTTATTTTATTTCTATTTTGGAGCTGAGCCACTGAACCCTAAGGCCTCAAAATAGAAATTGTTAAAGTCAGGATTTAAAACTGCTGTTTGTGAAGCCTTTCTGCTATGTACCTTTCCCTCTTTTCTGTGAAGAATGTGTTGCTTCTCTGCTTTTGCCTTTTTACCTGTTATGGTACTAGAGTAGGAGTAACTTGTCTGACTCAGAATAGAAGGTAGAGTGTATAAATGTCATAAACCTAGGATTGAAAAATGTTTTTACTATTATCCAGGTTTATTTTTACTTTCAATTTTTGTGGATAGCAATAATTAATATTTCAGAACAAAAACAAATTTCGAAAGAAGTACTATACTACATTAACGCATTTTATTTAATAACTAGTAGAGCACAATCTTCATAGTATTAGGTTGGTGTACAACCTAAATAACGAATTTATTTTGGTGGACCATCAGTCTATTTTTAGTCAACATTAAGCATTTATATTATAAAAAAGGCAGCATATACCTTGTCTTCTAGGCGCTTACCCTCTAATTAAATCCATATTGATATTCTCAGCTATATGGATCTGCTTTCACAGTTTTGTTTTCATCATAAAGCAGATTCAGAACTAAATTGAAGTAGTTCCAGTTAATAGTTTTGATTTTGAAGTGCTGTTTTGTAGTATATATTCTTTTTAATATGATCTCAATTTAATAGTATCCTATCCTTGTTAAAAAAATTAATATATACTTAAAAATTAAGATTAAACATATACTTAAAAGAATAAAAATTGCAACCTTTTATTAGGATTATATTTGTCAGAAGTGTTTATAATTTTCAGCTTGTCCCTATCTACTTCCGTGATTTATTGTGGCTTATTTATTTATTTAATTATTTATTTACTGACTTACTTTTTGTAATACCGTTTGATACTTCAGACCATATGAACATCTAAGTAATTTGTAGATACATTTATTTTTACTTTCCATATAAGCTGTTTGTCTAGGTTAGTAACTTCAAAATAATGGTAATTTTAGCTTCAGCAATTCTAGTGATATTTTTATATATCTTGTAAAAGAATTTAGTTTTGGTTGGGAGAACATAAACATTGTAAAGCCGTCATAGATAGGCCTAGCAAGGAACGGGACTGTAATCTAGCCAGATGGATGGCATAGTACTCCAACTTACCTGGTTGAAGAATAGTACAGAGTGTAAGTCAGTAAAAGAAATTAGCATGTAGATATTTGTTCTGATAATGAGGGGTTTTTGTTTGTTAAGATGTGGTTCATAATGGTGTACAAATATGTTAGTTTAGGTAATGTACTTAGAGTTCAGGCCTTTCTTTAGAGGTACTTTTTGAAAAACGTATTTATCAAACATCATATTCATGGGAGTAGAGAGATAGTGAAGCCTTGAGGATGAATGTAATAAAAAGTTTTTTTTTTTTTTAAATCTCCAGTAGGCATAATAGTCCAGGAAAATATTAAAATCATAAGTTCTTTTCATGGCATAAAAATTGACATTTTGCATGACCTTCAGTGCAGTCCTTTTAACTTTTTCTTGTTTCTTTTTCATGAGCAGGGGAATGAGTCAGCCAGATTTTCTTTAAAACAATGGATACTTTCATTAGGCACTAAGAAGATAATGAAATTATGTTTTGCAATCAGGTATTAACAGTTCATTGTCTTGCATTCCACAGCCAATTCAGGTTTTCTTCTTTTAAACAGGAAGTTGCCTTAAAGAATAGACAAGAGCTATATGCACCACCTCCTCCTCCCCAGTTCTACTCAAGCCTTATTGAAGAGATAGGAACTCTTGGTTGGGATAGGTATGTCTGTTTTAAAATATATTTTAAATGCCTTTGTTTTATACATTTTAGCTGAATATATTTCTAGTTTTAGCAATTTATACCTGATTTTAGTCAAAGTGTTTCATTGTAACTAGAGTATTTGATCCTTATTGTTGCTGTGAATTAAAGAGAGGAATATCATCATAAAAAATTGACTTACAAAGTAAAATGCTAAATATAATTTGGAGAAAATGACATTTTTATGTACATAGTAAGATGTTACCGTAATAGATACTTTCACTGAACATACAATTGTATTCTAAATTTTCCATATTTGAAGAGTAGTGCTTGGACACATGAAGGAGACTGGAAAAATTGCAGTATTTTTGAAATAATTGTAGTTATTTTGGTTAATACACAATTTGGCATGTCTAAATTTACATATATATAACATTATAAGTGCTTTTGTAATTTGAGTAGTAAATTTTAGCAACTAGGGTTTGGAAGAATCATCTAGCTTTCTTTGAAAAAAATGATTTTTTTAAAAAAAACTGATGCATAAAGAAACTTAAGTTCAGTAGACATGTAAGAAGGTTGTTAAAACTTAATCCACATACCACCTGGAAAAAGTATGTGATGATTTGCTTGCTATTCAGTTTCTGAATTTAGCTTCCTTCTTAGTGTGGATGCTTTGAAACATTACATTTATTATTAGGTGTATTATAACCTTTCTACTTTGAGCTAAAGCAGCAGTAAAGATATGCCAATTTAGTTCTTATCACTTCTTAACCAGTATCAATAGTATTTTAGTATTCATTTGTTATTTCCATTTAGGTTGCTCTATTACTAAGATAAATCAAGGGCTAACTTAGGTACAATGTGAAAGGAATGTGCAATTGTTCACCACTAAGTTTTTCTTATTGTGTTTAAACATCTTATTATTCATCTGTTTTTTAGCTATTTTCAATGAGTTGGCCTTTTGATAACTAACGTAAAAAACCAGAAAGTCAAATCGCCATTTGAAAGAGAACAAGGAACATATCTTAAGTGCAGAATATGTGTCCTTTAATATCTTTTATACCATTACGGATAACTAAAGAAAAACTAAAGACTTAAACATATTTTAGAGTTCCAAATTATTCCCATGTAAATAGTCTAAAATTGCCATTAGTTACGTGATTATTAGAGAAAGAAAAATTATTTTATTTGCCTTTGCCTTCTGCTTTCCTTTATATTCCTTAAAAGGCTTTTATTTAGAAAGTTTCTCTTCTTATGTATAGATCAATATTTTCCCTTTTGTTTTAACCACTAAAATTTGACTGAGTAGGCCATACCGCTTTTGGTGCACTTATGTGCAGAGATAGGTTAGCCATTCCTTCAGTCGTGACTTTTATGTAGACTTAATTTTTTATGAATACTTCTTTATCTTACCACCTCCCTGATTAAGAGTCAAAGTGTGTACGATCTGTACTTGAGCCAAGTTATTTAAATACTGGTCTTGATAAAAATTACAGCCTCAGATTTCAACTTAAAACCTTACTAAAATCCTAATTGCACGTAATAGTGTTTCACTGTAGATGGACTGCTTAAAGTCTCTAATCTTATTTTATATATTTTCTCAATTTTACCCATCGATCTTAGAACCTAACTACTTTCTTTTGCTCTCTTGTATAGTTGCTCTTGAGGATGCCACTGACTTGGATTAAAGGATGTTGTATGAAATAGCCCAAAGAAATGCAGTAGGAATTTTAATTTTGGGTGTCTTCCATTTTATGATATAGCACTATCTTTATGAGAAGCCATGAAAGAAGGTTTATTCTGTTTCAGATGCTAGAAAAGTCGTGCTTTGCCTGACTATCCAACCTGCCACTTAAAGAATAATGTGAACTGTGTAATTGACTCTGTTCTCTTTGACTTGGCCTCTAGGAAAGTTAGAGTCAAATTTTTGACATACTTTTTAGAGCCATGCTGGATATAGTATTTATATTTCTGTATGCTAATCTTATCCTGGCTTTTGTTCTCCTGTGATTCTTCTCTTCATATCAAGGGTACATGTTATCTATGTGACTCATCACTGTTGATTTTGATCTTGATTACCTGGTTGAGGTAGTATTTGTCAGGTTTCTGCACTGTAAAGTTACTGTTTTTTTCCCCTCTCACTATACTGTACTCTCTGGAAGTCACTATGTGTAGCCCACACTTAAGGAGTGGGCAGTTACACTCACACCTCCTTTAGGGCAGAGTATTTAATAGATTTGGAATTTTTCTGCTCAGATTTTGTTCTCTCTCATTTATTTTTTCAGTCATTTATTTGAAATACTATGGGACTCAGAGATATTTATTTTATACTTTGGGTTATAATCTAATACTATTTTACTTTCTTGTTCAATTTGTTCTAGCTTTGGCCATTGAGAGCTCTTTCAGTTGGCTCCTGTGTGCTTTTGACAGGCCCCATCATTGTGGATATATTTATATTTTTGAGCATTTCCTTACTTTCTGGCACTGAAAGAAATTTTGTGTATTTCCTGCCCTTGTCCTAGAATCGACGATTTTTCCAAGGAGTCCTGGTTGCTTTTATTAGTGAGTGGTATTAGAAACCAGGATGTGGGCACTATGGGTGCTTGTTGCTATTGGTGTGTTGTTGTTTCTAGACCTTCTTAGCTGAAAAACGGAAAAAAAAATGTGTTTATACTAACTTGTGCGTACATATCTGTGAATGTTTTTGTATATAACCATTTGTGTCTCTATTAAGGTAAACATGATTTTATACTGATGTCAGCAACTCCAGTCCATTACCATATGTAGTTTTCTAGCCCACTCACTTGGTATATCTGAAATCTCATATTCCAACAGGGAGAAACTGAGCTCCCATTATCTGTTATCCATTTACTTACTTGTTCAGTTGCAGTATACATGGAGAGCACTATCAAGATTATTAATCTGTACCCCCATGGGTAACAACTTTATCAACTATGCAGTGCTTGCAGTGCTTACTTTTATAAATTTTTTTTGTTTTTGTTTTTTGCTTTTATAGGCTTCACTCATTTTCACAGTTACTTAGGTTAGAACCATTTCCTCCACCCTCTTCAATGTACTTCTTTCCTGTATTTGTAACACAGATTGTTTTGTCACGTTCTCCGTTTCATCCTGCATTCATTTTAAAAAATGATTTTAGGATCTATAGTGATGCTGCCTTTTTCTTTCCAGATGAGTTTTTTGTGCCTTTTTAATTTTTCTTAATCAGTTTTGCAAGAGCCATATGAATTTTTTTTTTCAAAGACCCAACTTTTTAGCGTTGTTAATTTTCTCTATTGTATGTTTTTTATCATTAATATCTACTTATTAAGAATTTATTTTTTTTAGTTTTGCTTCCTTTGTAATTTCTTGAGATGGATATGTAGGTCATTGATTTTTTTTTCCAATTTATCTTATGATGTTATATATTAATTTAAGGCTGTAAATTTGTAAGCAATCTTAGCTAGATGCCATAAGTTTTGATGTTACATTATTACTGTCAGTTAAAAATGTTAATTTTCATTGTGATTTCTTTTGGCTTATTTAGTATATCTCTTAATTTTCAAACAACTGGAGATTTTTGGGTTATTGAGTTCCAGTTTAAGTCTGCTTTTATCAGAAATTATCCTTTTAATTATCTCAATACTTTGAAGTTTACTGAGGCTTGCTTTATCACCCAGCATCTTATCAATTTTGGTATGTGTTCTGTTTCCACTCAAAAAGAGTATGTAATCTCTTGTTGGGTATAGTGCTTTACTTTTATTCATTCCTCACATTTATTATGTGTGTCAGATATCCTATATGTTTAATGATTTATTTGTTTTTTTGTCTGCTTGTCCTAAGATCTCTGGAGAGAGCTGTGTTAAATTTTCCCAATATGATTGTTAATTTTTGGAATTGTTTTTGTTCCCCAAAATTTGCTTTATGTCTGTTTTCAGTCATGTTATTGGGTGCATACAGATTTATAATTGCTCTATCTTCCTTGTTGGTTTTCCCTTTTATTATTAGGACATGTTTCTTTTCTTTTCTGGAAATATTGTTGTCTTAATGTCTACTTTGTTATAACTTCACAAGCTAATTAATTACATATTTTAAAACTACTCTTTACCATTTGCATCTTTTAAAACAGATTTTAATGCTTTGTTGAAATTCTTCATCTTTTTCTCTATTTTCTTTCATAGTTTTAAAATATTTTTCTTGCTGGCAGCCACCAGAAACTGGAAGAGGCAAGGAATAGATTCTCTCCTAGAGCCTCCAGAGGGAGCACATCTTTGCTGACATCTTGATGAGAGAATAAGTTCCTATTGTTTTAGCCAAATATATATATGTGTGTGTGTGTGTGTGTGTGTGTGTATTTTTTTCCTAAGTCCTATCTTCTGGATTCCTTTTTGTTGTTTTTATTTCTGTCCTACAGAGTCTGCAATTCCTTATTCCCCTCCTTAGTCTCTGCTGCCAAGGGTTAAATAATTTTTTCTTTTTTAATACTTTAAGTTCTAGGGTACATGTGCACAGCGTGCGGGTTTGTTACATATGTATACTTGTGCCGTGTTGGTGTGCTGCACCCATCAACTCATCAGCACCCATCAACTCGTCATTTACATCAGGTATAACTCCCAATGCCAT